AAAGAAAGAAAGAAAGAAAGAAAGAAAGAAAGAAAGAAAGAAAGAAACAAAGAAGAGAGGAAGGAAGAAAAGAGATAAGAGAAAGAAAGAAAAAAGAGATAAAAGAGAAAAAGAAAGAAAGGATGGATGGATGGATAGATATAGGTAAATATAGATGGATAGAGTGACCGGCGAGAGATAGCTAGATAGGAGGATGGGAAGATGGAGAGATGGCTAAACTGACAGATGTGTGATATAGATAGATGGATACATAGATGATATGATAATGCAGGGATAGATGGATGGATGGATAGATAGGTAGATATAGATGATGCATATATATAATGCATAACTAGACAATAGACTTGGTTAGGTGGATAGACAGAGATAATGATAGATGGATATAGATTAAATAGAAGAGAGACAGACAAAGATAAGATAAAGGTAAGTAGAATAAATAGATATATATAGATAGATAGATTAAATAGAAGACAGACAGAAACAAAGATAGATTAGATAGATAGAATAAATAGATCTAGAAGGAGGATTGATAGATAGATATAAGATATAGTTAGATATAGGTAATTAGAATAGATATCTAAAGATAGGTAGGTAGGTAGGGAGAGAGGGTGAGAGATGATAGGTGGATACATGGATAGACATATAGGTGATAAACACAGATGACAGATGGATATAGAGACAGCTGGAGAGATGGATGGAGAGACGGAGAGACAGATGTGTGATATAAATAGATGGACAGAGATAGATGACAGATATAATGCATGGGAAAGAGAGAGAAAAGAGATGGTTAGATGGATAGACAGACAGACTGAGAGAGATAAGGATGGATGGATAGATGAATGGATAGATATAGTTAGATATAGATAAAGAGAGAGGGAGAGATGATAGGCAGGCAGGCAGGCAGGCAGACAGAGAGAGACATCCTAGAATCCCAGGGCTGGAAGGGACCTTAGAGGTCATCTAGTCCAACCCCCTACTTTATTAGGCGGCCTTCCACCCGTCCCACGCAAATGCCTTTCCTTAACAACCTCCGTCGCATAGCACACCCACAAGTCCAGCTCCGCCCATCGTCCACCTGGGGGGCCCACTCTGCCCATGCTCAGGGGGGCCCCGACAGCCGCCCCCCTGCCCCCCCCCCCCCCCCCCCCGCCCCCGTCGCGGCTCACCTCGCACTTGTAGCAGTTGATGTGGAAGCTGCGATCCAGGGCCACGATGCGCACCGTCTCCTCCTGACCTGGTTCGGGCATGATGGCTTCACCGCACACAGAGCATCGGGGGGCGAATTTCCTAGAAGGGGGGGGGGCAGAAGAGGGCGGGAATCAGAAAAGAGACGTGATGTTGAGCCCTGTCCTCTTCCTGAGATTTTGGGGCCTCGGGGTCCCCCGCTTCTCCCGCCTTGCTGGTTGGGGAGGATGGGACTTGTAGTACAGCACACACCGGACACCGGGGGTCGAATTTTCTAGAGGGAGGGCGCAGGAATCGGGATTGTTGTCCATCCTGCCCTTTTTCTGAGATCTTGGGGGCATCGGGGTCGCCCGCTTCTCCCGCCTTGCTAGCTGGGGAGGATGGGACTTGTGGTACTGCCTCCCTACAACCGCGGCACGGAGGACGAGAGTCGTGCTACGGTCTTTGAATCCAAGGATCTCTTTGGGGATCCTAAAAGATAACCCCAAAGGAATATATATATATATATATACACACACACATACACACGCTTCCCCCCCAAATCTCACCGGTGGAAATCTTCAATGCAGTGGATCTGGCTGGTGGCGTCCACGGTGAAGGGGATCCCATCAAGGCAGCGGTGGCAAACCACACAGGTGAAGCACTGGGGGTGGTAAGCTTTGCCCATGGCCCGCAGGATCCGATCCATGATGGACTTGGAGCACATGGAACATTTCTCCAAGGTCACCTGGGCCGGGAGGGGGGGTCGGTTTCAGTCAGAAAAATCGGATTTTTAAAAAATAAAATATAAAATTATAAAAGAACCCTCCTTCCACTCTCTTGCCATTGTTTTTATCCCTGGGTTCAAGCCTCTGCGAGTTAAAGCAATGGCTGAGTTGGCAGACGGCAGGATTCTGCAGGCCTTTGGGTGCCTGCGGCTTGGATCGCTTGCTCGAGCCGCCTAAAAAAAAACCACCCTGCTCTACTAGAGAAGCACGGGGTTGGACTAGAAGACCTCCAAAGTCCCTCCCAGCTCTGTTCTGATACATTTCATGAACAGGAAGCCGCGTTTTCACATGTCGACACCAGGGGGAGCCCAACTCCCAGAAATTAGAGCCACGTTTTGCAAACTTTGTATGAAGACCGGTGGACTTCAAAAACTCCCAGAATTCCCCTGCTTGGCAGGGGGAATTCTGGGAGTTGAAGTCCACCCGTCTTAAAACAAGAGGCTAAGTTTGAAAAAAAAAAAACAAAATGAGGATTTTTTTTGAACACCCCGCCCCCATCAACTCACAATATAGCAGGATTCACAGTACGACCGGCGGTCAATGGCGTAGAACGGCTGTCCCCGCAGGCGGCACCGGCAGGTAGCACAGGTGAAGCACTCGACGTGGAAGACCTGGTCCATGGCCACGCAGCCCGTCCCGTCGCCTACCACGTTTTCCCCGCACTGAGCGCAGCGGCCTGCAAAGGTCAAGGAGACAGAACTACGATGCTCAATTGCAAACCGGTAGCAGGCCAGACCTGTTACCCCCCCCACCAAAAAAAACCCCCAATGTTGAGTCGAAAAGATCCAAGTTTCCCCTGAAAACAAGCCAAGGGGAGCTTCCCGCGTGGCTATTCCGTCCAGCGATAGCATTTCGAGATAGACTGCTCTTGCACCTAGAGGCTCCGTTAAAAAAAAGACGAACTTTGGGGGGTTTTTTTTGGTTTTCAATCGCTAAATTTTTAAAGGCTCCGAGAAACCCACCAAAATATTCCGCGGTGGGAGGATTGTTCAGGTCGTACATCAATTTCTTGGTCAGACGGTCCAGCTCCTCTTCTGGGCGGCACAAGGGAAGCTGCGGGAAAGAGAGGGGAGACTGGGAGAATGGCGGTCACTAAGCTGGGCAACTGAGAAGCATGAAACATCCCCCCCCCCCAACACGCCCCGGGTTAAATGAGGATGCAGGCACGGCTCCTGAGCATGGGCCAAGTGCAATCCGGTTTGCCACCAACAAATTCCTCAGGAATTTAAGCCACTGGGCCTCCTATACAGGTAACTTCCAACCGTTTAGTAACCACTCAAAATTACAATGCCCCCCCCAAAACAGTGACTTATGACTGTTTTTCGCACTTACGACCATGGCAGCATCCCATGGGCATGTGATCAACATTCAGGCGCTTGGCAACGGACTTGTATTTACGACAGGTTGGGCTTCCGGGGGTCGCGGGATCCCCCTTTTCCAAGCTTCCAATGAGCCAAGCCAATGGGGAAGCCAGATTTGCTTAACAACCGAGCGACTCACTTAACAACAGCAGGGATCCACATAAGAACGGCAGCGAGGAAGGTTGTCAAAGGGGCAAAACTCATTTAACAAGCATCTTGCTTGACAATGGAAATGTTGGGCTCAGTATGTCAAGAACTACCTTGACTTGCCGCACAAAACATAGACTCTGGGAACTGTTGAGGAGGAGTTGTCCTCAGCCTCATTCTCATACACAAGCTGAATTTCTCTAGCATTCATTCTTTCCCTCCTGCATTCCATTCCTGGATGGAAGCCCCCTTCCCCAGAAAGACCCCTACCCAGCCTTCCCCTTCCCCATTATCCCCAGCAGCTAGAATTACCTGATGGGGGAACCTCAGCCCCCCAATGCCAGCAGGAACCGGAGGCACCGTCAACTCGTCCTTCCCAGCTTTCACCAATCCAGACTGGAACTGCCCCGCCGGTGCCAACCTTCCCTGCCCTGCAGGGCCGGCATAGAATTCCCCCTCGCCCAGTTGCTGGCCATAGGAGGGAGGCTCTGGGTACCAAGGCTCGGCCTCATGGGGGCGCGGACGGGACCCCGGTTCGGTGGCATATTGCGGGGGAGGTTTCCCTCCATATCCTAGTTGCGGGGACGGGGGCCCATACGCCGGCTCGGCCCTGCGCCTGGGCTGGTTGTAGCCCAGCACCGGTTTGGCCACCTTCACCTGGACATTGAAGGGGGGCCCAGCTGAGGAGGACGCCGTGGCGTATGAGGCGGGCATTGGCTGGGGGTACGGCTTGGGTGCCAACGGGGCACGGTGGTATCCGTAGACATCCCCCAAGCCGGGTGAGCCGTACTGGCAGGGAAGCACTGGGGTGGCTGGGTAAGGGGATCCAGAGCCTGGTGGGCCTCCGTAAGGCAGGGTCTTGGCATCCGGCTTGGGGGCCACAAAGCCGCCCGAGAGGGTGGGCTTGTAAGTAGCCGAAGCCGGGCTGGGTTTGGGAGTACCAGGCTGCAGAGGTGGATACGGTGCAGATTCCGTGTTCTGCAAAAAAACGGGTAAAACAATCAGGGTCCCAAGTAAAGAATTTTTTTGGGGGGGGGGACACAACACCCCCCCCCAGGCACCGCCCCCCCATCCCCATCTCGTCCTCCCATCCCTCAGCTTCCTCACGGCTCGTTCGCTCCGGCGTTGCTGGGTGCCCTCCATGTCAGCCAACATGCTGGTAAGCGAATCTATCTGGACATCGAGGTTGGTGGGGTGAAGGCCACGCGCCTGCTCCGGCGATTCTCCCTCCTGGTGGAAAATATAGTTTTTTGGGGGGGAGTGGGATCAGGATGTCTCTCTGATTGAGGAAGCCATTTTAACCACGCCGATCCGATCTGGGCTTCTGGAATGGGGTGACTCCCCGCCTTTGCCCCGCTCCCGAGGGCTGTGCCTGTTGGATCTCGGCCTGCCCTGTTTTGGCAGAAGGGCGCCAGTGTTTTTAGCAGTTTCACCTTTTTCCCTGTGGAAAATGCGGCTCCCGGGATCCTTGCCCGTGCCTAGAACAATCCTGGGAACCACAACTCTCAGAATTGCACTATCCTGTTTCCCCAAAAATAAAACCTACCCTGAAAGTAAGTCCTAGCTTGACTTTTTTTTTTTTACCCGTGCACCCAAAATAAGCCCTAATGAAGATTCCCACCCACTCCAGGGTAAAAATTAAGCTAGTGTGGGGATGGGTGGTGGTGGATGAAGGTGCCCTACTACTTACCTTTGGACAGTTGTAGCCAGGCCTCGCACACCCTGACACCCGCCTTGCCGGCCCATTTCTTCAGCCACCGGCAAGGCTGGCAAGGCTTTCCTAGTGGCCTCTGTAGCTGATAACAAAGCTCCGGATCGATCCAGAGTTATCGGCTGCAGAGGCCTGGAAAGCCTTGCTGGCCACAGAAGAAGGACTTCCGGAAGAAGGCCGGTGACGACGCGTGCAAGTGAGGTTAGTCCGTGGATGGCGTCCCCGAAAATAAGACCTGGTGCCTTTTTTTTAGTGGCAAAAAAATATAAGACAAGGTCTTATTTTTCAGGGAAACACGGTAGGTGCCGGCAAGGCTCCCAGCAGCTGCGTTCTCCAGAGGGCGCCAGGTTGAGGGAAAGATAGCAGCTCAGCATGGTATCTCCGCTGGGCTGCCTCCCCGCCAGACCACTCTAAGCCTTCCTCCCCCTTCAGCCAGGTGGGGTCAATCCCGGGGCCTCCTTACCTGCAGGGTGTAGCTGGGAGGTGTAGCGCTATCCCAGGATCCCCGAGACCCTCGCTCACTTACGGAGGAGTAGGGGGAGTCCGCAGGAGAATCCTGGGGATGGAAAGTGGGGCCTGGGGCGGAGGAAGAAGAAGGGCAGAGATTCATACTCGGGAAAGGGCAGAAGGAATGAAGCTGGGTTCTCTAGGTGTTGGGATCTAGAACTCCCAGACTTGTCAGGCGGCCGGCCTGCCCAGGAGCAAGGTCTGCTGGGAAATGTAGTCAGAGGACATGTTGCCATTTTAGAATGCAGGTATGATTCCTATTCAGAGATCTGGCTCCACCCATCCCTCCACCCATCTTCATCCATGCATCATACATCCATCATCTGTCCATCCATCTTCTGTCTCCATCCATCCATCATCCATCCTTCTTGTCTCCATTCATCCAACCATCTATCTTCTGTCTCCATCCATCCATCCATCCATCCTATCTGTCCATCCATCCATCCATCCATCTTGTCTCCATCTACCCATCCATCATCCACCCATCCTATCTCTCCACCCCCCCACCCACCCATATTCTGTCTATATCCATCCCTTTGTCCCGATTGCCTGAAAAGTTTTGCCTTCCTCCACGGCTCAACGCCACAACCTGGCAGTTCAATGGGGGGGGGAGCGTTCTCAGCTATTTGTGGGTCTGTTTTCCTTCCCACCCCCCAAACCCAAGTTCTTGTCAAAGGAGCCATTAGGGGCCTACCTTACAGGGGTGTCAGGAGTATTTGGCAATGCTAGTCAGCCAATTACCCCAACGGGGGTGGGTGGGGATTCTGGGAGTTGTAGTCCATCCGTCTTCAAGCGGCCCAGGCTGAGAAATTGAGCCTTGGAGCCCCCCCCCTTCCCCCAATACATTTACCTGGAGGGGGTGGCTGGTCTCGGGAGGGCCCCCCCGCTGAGCTCATCCCCCCATTGGTCTCCGGAGTTCGGTGGGTGGGTCTGGGGGCTGCAGGGACGGAGGCGAAGGTCTTCTGGACATTGCAGGCGGCTGTGCCCGAGGCAGGGACATCGGGCTGGGCCAGGAGCCCCGCTTGCTTTGGGGGCAGCCAGGTGGGGCCCGACATGCTGAGGGAACCTGGAATATTTTTTGGGGGGTGGGGGAGCGGTGGGTTTGCAGAGGAAAAACACATCGAGTCAAAATTGGACGCTGAATGGAACGTCTGGGCTTAATTCCCCCAGCCCCGTCCTTATTTTTTGGAAGTTCTGCTTTTGAATCCGTTTTCACCTGAACCTGAATGGTAAAAGGAAGGGAGGAGTGGGATAGGTAGAGGGATGGAGGGATGGATAAACAGTCGGAGAGATAGAAAAGGAGAGAGAGAGAGAGGCAAGAAAGAGGTGGTTATAAAAAGAAAGACGATAGAGACGAAAGGAGAGAAAGGGGAGCCCAGAAGAGACGGGGGGGGGGGAGGATGGGGGGGGCTCAGGAAGGGTTGCAGCAAGGCGGCGATCCCAAGAAAAACAGCCCCCTCCCCAATGTAGTTTATGCCCCCCCCCACCGATCAGACCCTGCCCTGGATAGACCAGGTTAAACCCCCCCCCCCCCCCCCCCCCCCCACACACACACACCTCTGCCCCCTCCTCACCTGATCCCGGCGTCTCCCTCGTCCCCCCAAACTTCCCTCCCGCGCCGAGAAAACTTTCTCCGCTCCGAACGCGGCAAAGAAACTTTTCTTTTCTTTCCACTTTTTTTTTCCCCCCAACTTTGGTTTTTTTTTTTTAAACCGACCCCCCCCTCACCGGGGGGGTGACGTCACCGCATTCCACAGCGTCACGTGGAGCCTGGGAATTCCTGCCACTTCCGGTGGTTTGGGTGGGAGGCGGGCATGGGGAGGGGGGGGAGAGGGCGGCCCCTGGGACGAGGCTGTTCCCCACCCCCCCGCCTCGCCCCCACCTGCAATCCGCACAGGTGGGGAACTCCAAGGCCCATGCTTCCAAGCCTACGGGGGAGGGGGCGCGGGGGGGGGGAGGAAGCATGGGTAGGGACAGAGGAGGGCGTTGAAATTTGGGGGCTTCTTCCAAGGGAAGAAAGTGGGGAGGTCCCACCGGAGTCCCATCTGTGGGACTTCAACACCCATGCTCCCCAGCTGGCATGGGCAGAGACGTGGAGGGTGCAATCTTTTGCACACCGAGGGTGCCTGTTTTGGGAAGAAGCAGCTTTTGGCGGGGAATTTGCAAGAGTATTGCAGTTTACAGATGAACAGAGTCGGAAGGGACCTCGTAGGTCATCTAGTCCAACCCCCCTCCCTCCCAAGCAGGAGATCCCACACCATTTCTGAAAGAAAGGAGAGAAAGGGAAAGGATGGAGGAAGGAAGGAATGAAAGAGAGAAAAAGAAAAGAAAGGAAAAACAGAATAACAAAACCGGAAGGGACCTCGGTGGTCATCTACTCCAACCCCCACCCAAGCCATACTACACCATTTCTGACCGATGGCACTCCAATCTCTTCTTGTAATGTATGTCATGGGGGAAGAATGGGGTCCCACTGGACTCCAACTCCCGGCAAAGTACCCTGGTAATTAGAGAAAGGAGAAGGTGGAGGGAGCGGCTGGCGGGGGCGGGGTCCCGGGGGGGGGGGGACCCAAGCAGACTTGCCCGGCTGAGACAGGGCAGGGTGTGCCAGCCGCCTGCCCGCCAGGGGTTTCATCACCCAGCAAGCCGCTGCTTGCCCAGGGTGTGAGTTGTGTGTAAATGTGTAGTTGTGTGTCTGGAATTTTCGCTTCTCCAAATCCTCGGGATTTGGGGGAGGGGGGGGCAATTTTGCAAGGGAGGGAGGTAGACCCTCCATTTCTCCCCCACCTTGAGCAGATTTTGATCTTTTTCCCTCCAGAAGGTCAGTTAGTGAGACGGTCAATAAGTGAGTCCAGTTCGTCAGCAGGTCGCCAAAGGGGAACACGTGACCTCTGGGACACAGCGACCGTCGTGAATACGAGTCGGGTTGCCAGGAATTTTCCTTTTGATCACAGAGAGGCTGCGGCGGTCGTAAAGGGTGAAAAGCAACCCTGGTTTACTTTTTTTTGCAACGGTTGTAAGTTGAGGACTACCTGTGTAGGGTAAGGGTTGGGGGGGGTTGGACTGGAAGACCTCCAAGGTCCCTTCCTATTTGGTTACAGTTAGCCCTTGAACTTTCATTTTAGTGACCATTCTAAGTTACAACGGCACCAAAAAAGTGACTTGTGACCGTGTTTCACACTTATGACCGTTGCAGCAGCCCCCACGGTCACGTGAGTTACATTCAAATGCTTTACCACTGCTTCATATTTACAACGGTTGCAGTGGCCCCCGCAAAATCCATGGGGGGGAGCCGGATTTGCTTAATGACTGAGTTACACATTTAACAACTACACTGATCACTTAACAACGGTGGCAAGGAAGGTCATAAAACAGAACAAAACTGACTTAAGAAATGTCTCACTTCACCACAGAAACACTGGGGGCCCATTGTGGCTATAATACGAGGACACTGTAAATTACATTGACAGGGTTATTCATTGAACAGTGGAGGTGATTCACTTAACAAACGCAGCGAGAATAGTTGTAAACCAGGACAAAACGCCCTGAATAATTTTTTTTGTTGATTCTGGGCTCGACAGTGGTCGTACGTCGAGGACTGAGATTGGGCCTGGGGCTCAGAATCGGAGCATGTGCAGAGTGCCCGGAAGGCCCTTGTCGGGAAGGCTTGGCATCCTTCTGCATCGCAGCGCATGGAACGGCGCATGGCGCATTGCCAGCCTTATCGCCCAAGAGGCTGTTCTTATCGCTTTTGGCAGGAGCACTGTGTTTTCACAGGCACACACCTAAGGCGTGGTGCCCGCCCGGCAGTGTGGTGCAGTGGTTAGAGCTGTGAGGGTCGACATGGCACACAGAGCCCTCTCTGTGGACACGTGCACCGTCGCCAGCTGGTCTTTGCAGGCGCTGGAGCACTGAAACATGGCGAAAAAACAGGCCTTTTGGGGCTGTTTTCAGGCTGTTTTGACCCAAAAAGTGGCCTGAAAACAGCCCAAAACCAGTTTGAAAACGGACCAAGAAATAGCTTGAAACAGCCCCCAAAATGGTCTGGACACAGCCAACAAAACAGCCAAAAATCAGGCCATTTTTGAGGCCTTTTTCAGACAGTTTTCCAGGCCGTATTCCGGCCCTTTTCCCTGAACAATGGGCAAAAAACAGGCCATTTGGGGGCCATTTTCAGGCTGTTTTGGTCCCAAAAGTGCTGAAAACAGCCTGAAATGGCTCAAAAACAGCTCCCAAAATGGCCAAAAAACCCAGGCCATTTTTCAGGCTGTTTTTTTGGGCAATATCAACAATAGGCCTAGGTTCAACCTCAGCCACTTTAAGACCCGTGGACTTCAACTCCCAGAATTCTAGGAATTGAAGTCCACTGAGGGAATTCTGGGAGTTCAAGT